CAAGTGAGAGAAGGGTTCTACTTCATAGAGAGAGAGAGAGAGAGAGAGGAAAACAGAATACAAAGCAGTCATACTCATAACAATGGGAAGAATCTGCTCTGGGATGATGATTTCCACTCCTATGACAATCTCCAAGCTCGATTTGATGAAACCCAGCTCCAAGATTGCTTCTAGGATGTGTTCTTCGTACTTTCTCTCTCTAGGGCTCTGTTTTTGCTCTGAAAACTCCATTCTCTCACTTGTGGCCCAAAATTGGGTAAAAACCAGAAAATCCCGATCACACGGGCAGGCCACACGCCCGTGTGGCATACCCAGTTGCCCGTGTGAGGTCAAAACGCCGCGTTCCGATTATGTGGGTTTCAGGCTTCCTACACGGCCAGGGGCACACGGCCGTGTGGCATGCCCAGTCTGCCCTTGTGAAGCCTCGCAATATCCCACACGACCACATTGCTCCTTCACACGGTCGTGTGAGATTTATTCCTGCCCGTGTGAAGGCTCACACAATCCCACACGGCCACATTGGTTACTTGCACGGCCGTGTGGGTTTTGTGTGTGCCCGTGTGGCTTCCTCATCGACTCGCCGCACGTCCGATCTGCGTCCAATCGACCCCGAACTCGCTCCCAAACCTTCATTCACGTACTAGGACCTGAAGTATCACAAACAAGCACAACCTAGCGTGAAATCGGCCTAAAACATGAGAATCAACATCTCAAACGGCTCCAGAATAGGGGTAAAAACATGTGCAATTAACGGTTTATCAATATTATATATATATATTTAATATGTATACTTATCTGATCGATCGATAATCCAATTTTCGTTGAAATACTATCAAAATAATCGATTTTAAATCGCGAACTTTCTAACTATCGAAATATGGGTTTTGCCAGAACGGGATGTTACAAAAAATTTATAAGGGTGGAGGAAATGTTACACCCCGCTCTTTACAAAAGTCAAAATAACAATTATACCCTTGGAAAAAATTGGTCAAAGTCCACAGTAATATTTAAGTGGACTCAAAACATAAACTAATGGTTCGAACGGTGTTGAATTCCGATATAGAGTAAGGAAGTTATGAGCGATTTTGGGTAATGCGTCAAAACCTAATCAACTGATTGGGCTGGCAAAGCTTTTAAAGTAGTAAGATGGGCCGAGTGGGCCGGGTCCAGTCTTCATGGTGGGATTTTGTTGGGAACAAAAGTAGGTGGGCTTAAGCCCGAGTTGGAATTAAAAGAAGAATGGGTCGGTGTGTGGTCGCAAAAATGAAGAGAGGAAACGGGTTGTAGGCGGGCCGGGGTCCAATTCGAAGAAGAGGAATCGTCTTCCTCTGGGAAGCTCGACCGGAAGCGTGGAAATAGGGAGGAAGAAAGAGAACAGAGCAGCGGCAGGGGCACGCAAGGGAAGTCGATGGTTTGCGGGGAAAATTGGGCAAAACGGAAGCGTTAAATCAATGGTTCCATTCAATCAAATTAATGGACGATTAATTGGGGAAGTTTAGTTTAAGGGTGGTGAAATATGTTCTTCTCCACTGGGGAAACGACGTGAGGAAGTGAGGGATGGCAGAGGCGAATTGAAGGGGAGTAAGGACAGAGGCGAATTGCAGGGGAGAAGCAGAGTGCGAGGAAGAGAGAAGAGCGTGGTGAGCCGTTCCGACGAACGCAGCCGCAAGTTCGGAATGAAGAAGATGACGCGATTCCTGAGAAGAGGAGGAAGGCGGGCGATTCGTGGACACGAGAGGAAAACCAGGAACGCAGCAGCGGTGAGGAATTTCGATGTCGACTGCGACATCCGCGTCGATCTCGGCGTCGCCGGGAAGGAAAATGAAGCAGGGGAAACGGGGAGGATGCGAGTCTACCCTCCAAAGCGCTGGGGGGTTTTAGGGATCCATCATTGGCCTCCGAATTGTGGGCCGAGGAGAGACGAGCTGGTTGCCGGCAGCGGTGGTGAAACAACAGCTATGGTGGCCGTTGGGAAATTGTTGGCCGGGAAAGATGAGGAGGAATATCCGAAGGAATGCGATGGTGGTGGTCTGGAAGGCGAGGAGGAAGGAGACGACGACGGTGGCTGGAGTTGGGGCGGCGACGGCGAAACCGTGAGGTTCGACGGCGACATCGTGGAGGTGAGGAGTCTTCTCCCAAATTTTTGGAATTCAATGGCATGCCATTATAAATTTGATGAATAGTCAGGGGCATATATGTCTTTTTGGAGTTTGGGCAATTTTATAAAATTTGGGAAGTTTAGGCGCCGTAAAGTATTTGACCAAACTTGGGGTGAGTTCGCAATTAGTAAATGTTTTGGTATCAGATTGGGAATAAGTCGTTTGGACTAAAATGTTTAAATCAGAAAGTGGAAATTGGCCTGGAGGACTGAATTGAGCAATTCTGGAATTTTGGGGCCGAATCGATAAGTCCCAGGAATTTTGAGTACCATTTGGTAATTTGCCATTTTGGGGCAAAAAGGTAATTTTCCATAATTTTATGGGGAATCCTAAGAAAGATTAAATCGAGGAAATTGCGATTGAAATTAACCAAATTGAAGGTTGTTTGATTAGTTACGCTTGGAGATAAGTGAGTTAAGTTTTGCCTAAATACCTAATAGGAGGAAATGCAAAAGGAGGCGACGTACGAGGAGTTGGAGAGTGGAGTTTCGGATGATGACGTGGATCAACCGAAAATTAAGAGGGGTCGTATTGATCAGCCAAGCTTGGCCAGCAAGGTGAGTGTAAAGGGGGTAAATTGTACGCCTTACGTATTTTTCAAGTATTTGCCTTACGTGTTTAAGAAGTTGTTTTATGTGAAATTGTGTGTTTGCTTATGTTTATGGGTGATGATGTGTGTTCTTTTGATTCATAGTTTGAAGGATATGTTTATGAGCTTTGAGTATTTAATTGAAGCTTTTACATTTCTTTTGACGATTAAGTTAAAGTGATAAGAGCAAGAGAAAGTCATAAGTACGAATAAGTTAACCTCGCTTAGCTAGCCACTAGCTAGACAGTTCCCTACCGGACGGTGATAAGTTCCGCGGTAGTTGATCACTACCGGATGGTGATACGTTCCGCGGTAGTTGGTCAGGCGTGGAGTCGGGTGGTGATGAGTTCCGCGGTCTCCATTGCCTAGGTTTAGGTGTGCTACCGGATGGTGATACGTTCCGCGGTAGTCACGCCGTAGTTTGATACCGGATGGTGATTCGTTCCGCGGTGGTCAAACCCATTTGAGGGGCACCCCATTGTGAGGGTAGTCATGTTTAAGAAGTAAGAAAGTAAGGCTAGTAGTGGCGCCAGCTAAGTCGAGGTAGGGGCCCCAACAATAAGATAAAGGAAGAACTAATATGTTTTCAAGAGTTAAAGTTTAAAAGGCGGAAGTACAAACAACTTCCATAAGTTTAAGTAAGTGTTTCAAGCAAAGTACTCAAGTATTAAAAGTAATAAACGTAAGGGCGTAGACTGACCCCATCTCACTCACCAGTTTGAAGAGGACTAAGAGGAGTTAGAGAGCAGCGAGTTCGAGAGGAGCAGTTTGCGGGCAGCCGGCTGGAGGAGGGTAGTACAAGCGCTATGGAGGATGTCTAGTCAATGCTTACAGGAAGCAGTAGCATTAAAGACTTTTTAGTTGTTTCAGTTTATGATTATGAGTATAGACTAGAGATCATTTTGAGATTTTAAGTATTGAGTTTGCCCACGTGTTAGGGCATTGCTTTAAACTACTAGAGTGTGTTTTCAGTATTTTAATTATGAAATTTTTCCCGGTGTAGTTTAAGCTTTGGGTGTTTTAATTTTCAAGAGCATTTTAGTAAAAGTAGTGCTCGGCCGAGCTAGGGTGTTACAGGATTACTAATTCTCAGCCGGGTTTTTATGGTGGGTAGGAAAGTGGGATAAAGGGAGCTCATGCGTATTCGCATGGCTGGTTTCCTGTTAGAGTGTACGAAAAAAGAAATCCGAGCCACGATTCCACGCAAACTCACGCGTACAGGGAAATAACTCTTCCATCATGTCCGCATAGAGATGGCAATGGGGCGAGTTTGTCTAAACCATCCTCATCCCCATCTTCAAATATCCAAACCCATACCCGCCCCATACCCATGCGGGGAATGTTTGGCAAACCCATCCCCATACCCGTGGGTTTCGGGTACCATGGGTAATACCCGTACCCGTACATCTAACATTATTATCCTAAAATTTACAAGAAAAGTTTTAACTACAACTCTAAACGTACCTATTATATCACGAATTCAATAAAACACGATCATTTTCTTGATACGGTTCAAAGAATATGAACCTAAAACATTCGTTAATACATAATATAGAGTATAATATTTTTCAAATTATTATGTTCTAACTCTGATACATCTACTAAGTAATAATTAACTAACATAATCTTGTTGACAAGTGGGAAAGTGAAAGAGTGAAAGGAGAATTGAGAGAAATGAATTAGGTTTTGATTAAGGTGGTCAATCAATTGCATTTCTACTATTTATTTCCTCGAGTTATCCTCATCATCATTGATAGATTACAATTTGATCCACATATTTTTGTATATGTAAAGAAATTCTCTTTGTGGGGCGGATAGGGGTATGGGTATGGGGCAGGGAGGCTAAAACCATACCCGCCCCATACTCATAAAACTTTTTGCGGGTTTTACCCATACCCGGCTCATACCCGATCAAAGCGGGGATTACCCGCGTTGATTGGGTTGGGTCCAATCGGGTACCCGCGACCATGGGTTTGATTGTCATCCCAATGTCCGCATGAGCTGGGGCAGATCCGCATGAACTGGGGCGGGTTCGCTTTAGCTGGGTTTATTTTTCCAGCTTGCACGAATTCACTTCCTTATTGCTTCAAAATACAATATTTGGGTAAATACTTTCTAAACAACCATATTCGTGATAAATTAGAAAAACAATATTCTTGGAATTAATCCACCCAATTACAACAAACATTTGAAGAAAAAAGAAAAACATAATGAAGAATATAAAAAATGGAGAAAAAGAAAAAGAGGAAATAATTTCTTCATGCTGTAGCGTATGATTATGATATGATCGAATCGAATGAGGTGGACGAAACCATCAATAAAGGCATAGGTCTGTTTCTGTTCGTCTTCTCTCTCTCTCTCTCTCCTAGCTAGGCTCTAGTCTTGTGGTCTGGTTAGTCGTCACTCCCGAGATGGAATCTCTCCTCCGAACCATAACCCGGCAGGACCCGAGCCCGGAGGACTACAGCGACATCGAGTTCTGGTCCAACCCGGAGCGCTCCGGCTGGCTCACCAAGCAAGGCGAGTACATCCGCACCTGGAGGCGCCGCTGGTTCATCCTCAAGCAAGGCAAGCTCCTCTGGTTCAAGGACAGCGTCGTCGCCCGCGGCTCCGTCCCTCGCGGCGTCATCGCCGTCGGCAAGTGCCTCACCGTCAAGGGCGCCGAGGACGTCCTCAACAAGCCCTTCGCCTTCGAGCTCTCTACCAATCAGGACACCATGTATTTCGTCGCAGATTCCGAGAAGGAGAAGGAGGAGTGGATCAATTCCATCGGCAGGTCCATCGTCCAGCACTCCAGGTCCGTCACCGATTCGGAGGTCGTCGATTACGACAGCACCCGCCGGTGATTCGATTTCCGATCTCCCCCCAAGTTGCAAATTTTTAGGTTTGGCCTTTCTTCTCTCTCTTGCTTTCCCTTTCTCCCCTTCAGATTGACCTGTTGGACGTGTAAGAGAACAATTTGCGAAAAGGGTAGTTGGGGTTCTTTGTTGTTAGTGATCGGAGTGTTTGATCGGTGGTTTTGAGGTGAGTGTGTGTATGGGCGGCGGCGATCTTAATCTCCCTCCGTTCTGGATTGCTTACTATCTATGAATTGGGGATTGGATGATCCATTGGGGTTTTCTGTATCTGTTTATTTTGGTTTTGTAATTAAACGCAGTTTGGAGTCAGTAATCAAATCAGTGACCTTGTTTAAAGTTGTTGTTCTGCTGGGTGATTCCTCAAATTTGTTTCTAAATGGCAGCACTCTTTTGATTCTTCATATAATTACCTGAAGCTTCATACTGGCCAATTGAATTGCTGTTGGTGCCGAACTGATTCCACCTGCTTCCTTCTGCTGCTTAAATTACTTTCTGCATTTGCTTGACCTCAATGATCAGATTACCATATGAGAAAAACAGTAACGGTAGGTGGTAGGAGTAGCTTGCCTGCTGTCTTGTTTTAGTTCAATCCATTACATGGCTTACATCTAGTTGCAGAAAGATTGGTGTTCATGGATCTGGAAGATCTTGCCACTAATGCGATGGATCTGCACTTGTTTGCCGAGCAGTCCCATCCTGCTTGCATCTATCCAATTGAACCACTGCCATACTTGTTTGATATCTGCGTGTATGGCACATATGCCCTTTAATTTATAGTCACCTATTTGTGAGCACAAACAAAGAACTAGGAGCATCCTATTTGGTATTATCCTCTGGATGTATGCCGTTGCTGACAGCCGTCTCGTTCAGATCGAGAGAGTGAGAGAGTCATTCGGCGGGGTGATTAATAGAGCTTTCGAGGTGAGGGACCTATTGGAGTGAGTTTCTCTGCAATTCATCATCAGGTTTCCAGGTTTGCAGATGAATTAATGCCTTCCCATTCTGGCTTATGGTTAACAAACAGGTGAAAAGTCTTACTGGCTTATGCTCGAACTTGGCTAACAGGCTAAGTTTTGTTGTTTCGGTCGGTGGGAGGTAGGTCCAACTCTAAGCTCCAACCCGAATGGTCAAATATTGCTGATGTTTTTTAAAAAAAAAACAAAATACACATGTTTGGGTTTAATCGCAGTCGTCAGATGCAGTGAAGAGCATCTTCGAACGAATGTAACTTTGTGTCCGTCCGATTATTTGATCATAGCGAAAGTTTTTCTGATTCTGCATAATTTTTCAAGATCTAGCATCCCGCCTTCGGCCTGAAAATATGTCGTTAGCTGCCCCAAACGAGCAATTTTTCGATTTCGCCAAAGTTTGGACGACCATAACTTACTGCTCTACAACCCGTACGCCATAAACTTGTTTTTTTTAATTTCGCATAACTTTTTAAGGACAACAATTTTTAGTTTCATAATGTATGTTTATTTGTGGAAAGTAAAACAAAAGTTATTGCATAAACCATGTATATCCAAAAAGATTTCCTAAAATTCCTTCCTAATAAACATTGTACGACGTGTTGTCAAAAACACAGATTGTAGAATCAACAAGCATCTTTCGTCTTTTTGACGTACCTACTAGGGTTGGCCACGGAAATGCGATAATAGGAGCTTCTAGAGACATAAAGAAGGAGCAATGAGTGAAGATCAGAAGGGGGAATCGTTATGGCGATTTTTGTCTCTTTTACTCTTATGCAGGGATGGCAAAAATATTCGTAACCAAGGATATCCACCCGAATCCGGTTTAATTGGGAAAGGTAAAATCTGAACCCAAAGGATATCTAGTGAGTACGAGTAAAACCAAAACCCGAATATTGTAGGTAATGGGTGGGCATGGGTATCTCACTATCTATCCAGAACCCGCCCGATTATACACCTGCATATGTATTTTATCTAGAAATAATCATTATTTTTCTCTAACATATTTTATATTTTGCATTTAAATATAATATTTTCATGAAATTGTGTTGTTTTAATTAATTTTCTATATTATATTGAATTATTGTCGTACTTTTCCTCTTACGTAATGTGAGAATACGTGTAGATGTTAACATATTGGTTGTGAAGAGAAACTATTACACATGGATAATCGTGGATATCCGAAATCCGAACGGGTATGTGCGTGGTTTTGATATTCTACCCGTTTCACATGTGAATATGAATATGGATAAAATCCGAACTAATTTGGGTAGGGTAACGGATATGCACTATCCGCCCCGACCCATTGCCATCCCTACTCTTATGATTTCTTTTGTATTCAGAGATAGCTAAACTTAAACTGTTCAAATCACGTAGAACCCTAGGGAAATGGATTGATTTTGTAATATGAATGTGATTGATGTTCTAACAAAGATTCTTGATCATTGATTGCGTAGCAGGCGGGAGCTGCATCTCTTCGTGGTGTAGCCTTCGAAATATGATTTTGAGACTGATGAGACAAGAATTGCCACCCATCACGAACTATCATCAATCGATTAAGTTGCGTGACACCTCAAAAGAGAGATTCATAGGGTCCTTGTTGCCTATCAGATCGGGTAAACGTTTGTGACACAAGATAGGAATAATTTCGTGTAATTTGATCTATTTGAATATCATATCGGCCCATCGAACATATTGGGTGCATGTTCTGAACGATCTCTTCTCGTCCATTATGTTATTTTTTTGTGTTTTATATTTTCGTTGCGTTGTATTTTTAATTTTGTTATATTGTAAGTTTGTATTCATCTTTTTGACGAATTTAAGTACAACACTTGATTTTGAGTAGTCGATCATTAGAAATCCCAAATGAATACGATCCAAGTACCACTTGTGTATTCAGTAAATTGACTCTACGCTACAACGTGATCAATCTCCTACGATCTCCCTCTACTCTTCAGCTACTGAAGCCAACGACAAGACAATGATTCACCGATTAATCGCAACGATAACTGGTAATTGAAGCTACGGTTACGGGGCTCAAGGTAGGGTGCATAACCATGAGTTATGCACCCATCAATAACCAAATATGGACCCTTCATTTAGAAAATCCAGATCTAAGGATGGAGAATTAAAGACCATTTTTATTTTCCCTAACTTTCTTAATTGACTCATATCTTTTTCGTTTTAACTTGGATTTTATTTTTATTTTTTTGCACAGATGGAACGAGTTCATCGTGCTCTACAAAATGAGATCAATTTTCAATATTTTTTGAGAAAAAAAAAATTAAGGCCTCTTGGTACCAACTGCATACCATATGGTATCTTCTTCGTTTTTAATTCGTTTTTGAAAACGTTTGCACAACAGGGACGAGTTCATCATGATCTATTGGATCTACAAATTTTTGGATGAACAAATTACAAGACCAAAAAATACCACACAATACCATACAATACCACCCTGGTACGGGGTGGTATCTTATGGTATACAATGTTAAAAATCGTAAATGACAATTAATATACTATACTATCATGTATTCAACCATCCTACAGTTTTGGTTTGTGTCATACCACCATGGTACGCTTTTCAAACCATAGGTATGCTCTTATTTCAATAGCAGTCAATACCATCAACAATAACATTTATAGTGCAAACTTATAACTGCCATCCCCATTCAAAAAATCCGGCCTCTAGAGTGTTTTTCGGTGAGCTGACGTGGCTGGGATTTCAGCCGACGGTTTCCCTCCCCGCTTCGATTGATGGCGGTTGCCTTCTGAATTCCGTTTTCTTCTCCCCACATTCATCTCCCGAATTGTTTTCTTTTTTCTTCTCAAAAGCACAAGATTAGCTGTGGCAGTCGATTCTCTGTACGTGCAGTTCGACCGATTCAGCTTCGTGATTCGCTTCAATTCGGACTAACAACTACATCGAGGTATTCCCTTGGTTTCCTTATGAACTCCGATTTCTTCTCCCCACTTTTTTTTCTTTTAAAAAACACAAGCTTTCAGTTCGACCGATTCCTCTTAGTGATTACGGTGCTTGCGATTCGCGTCAAGGGACTTACAGCTCCGTCGAGATATTCCCTTCATAGGTGGTTTGTATTTGGTTTTCATCTTCCTTTTATCTCGCGATTCGGGGCAATTGAAGACTTTCGTTATATTCACAAAACCAAAACCTCACCTCTGTCAATCAATTTCCATACCTGCCGTTTCACCGACTTTTCTTCGGTGTATGCGTTCTGGCGATTTGTTTATGCGAACGACAGCTCTGTCAAGCTCTGCAACTCAGATTGGTGGGTTAATTCTTGCTGTCGGAGTTTTCTTATGTATTGTTTGATTTTCTCCCTTCTTTGAACTCACTTTCTATTTAATTTGGAAACGAATTGTTGTCTTCCCCTTATCGAGCGATTCGAATCTAATTAATTTCAATGGCCTCGAACATCTAGACCTTCTGAAGGATGTGAAGGTGAGTGGTTGTGTTATACTGAGAAAAGTACCCAGCCTGTCAAATTTGACCAAGTGAAGCTCGAGATTATTGATTGGCCACTCCTCTCTCAAATCCAAGGGCTTGGTGAAGTTGGGGATTTATCGATTCTATGGATCAGGATATGTTATCAGTTTCATGGGGTGATGGGGCTCGACAAATTGGAGCCATTGCAAGAACTAGTGATTACTCATTACCTGCCGACTATGAAGCTGCGTGGTTTATCTGCTTTGGAGCACTTATGGGTTCTGACCAGGCATATCGATTCCAGGTAATAGATAGCTGAAGGAGGTAACTGGGTTTCGAATATATTGATGGAGTGGGACAACAACAATTCCGATTTGAGCAGTGACGAGAAGGAAGGAAGCTTCGACCTCAACGATGGCGTTGGTCCAATCCCTTTCCCATCGAGAGCTTGCTTCAATTGCGCCTTGATGGTTCGTGGTCACGGATGCTCTCGAGCCTGACCACCCTATCATCTTTGCAGAATTGCACCTCAGACTTGATAGGTAATCCTTTGTTTTTTGGATATCTTGGATTCCTATTTCTAAATTGAGATGGACAGGTGCAACTTTGATGCTCATTTGATTATGCCATGACATTTGTATGCTAATTTGTTTGTGGGTTACATTTATGTGCTAATTTGATTGTGAGATTACAATTATGTAATTCCATATACTTTAATCCAGTATGCTTTTCATATTGGCATGTTGCTGCTTCACATCATGCGCTTAGCGTGTGAAGGGGAACCTTAAATCCCACTCTATATTTAGCTCCGAGTTGTTAGCTATACCTGCTAACAGTCATCTTGAAGAACCTCAGGCGTTCATTTTGTTCTCGCCCGCCAATTTCAATCCTGCTATACCGTTGTAAAGATCTTTGCACAATTTTCAAATTGCACTATGATCCTGACCTGCCTCCCATTTGTTAAGCTTGAATCTTGATGAATGTTTGGGAAACTGTGGTTTGATGCGGTGATGTTGAAATATTTATGTTTGGAAATCTTGCTGCTCTGCAGGCAGCATCTAAGCTGATAAAGAGCTCAGTTTTGCCGACTCTTGAAGAATACAGACCCATAATTCTGTCATCTCTCAAGTTCTCCAAGTTCACTTTTGGTACAGTTTCCCCTTAGTCAGGTTGGTCCTCTTCTTTCTTTTCTATTGTGATTAGTTTGAGATTCGAAGTAGAGAATTGTGTTCCAATAGTATAATATATTTTTTCCGCATGCTCTGAACTCAATAGAGTCATGATTTGTGAAGTATCTTTTAAGAACATTGATGCAGCTACCTAGGTCATGTAACTAAGGATAAAGTATGCATTTATACTTGGTGGGAAGAGTTTTATTGCCCTTCAAAATTGCAGGACTCAGAACTGAACTTACCACAAGTAGTCCATGTTGGATTAGAAAAGGCTGGCTCTTGATTCCATCACCACCTCTGCTCCCATCTCTACCTTACGGTATTCTCTGCATATTTAGTATGAACCCATAATGGGATATTCAGGTAACATCTTACATCAATGTCCTTGGTATTTGTATCCATGAACCAGATTAGAAGAAGCACATATCCCAATTGGGTGGGCTCAATCACTACATATTTTCTCCTCTCCTCCACAGAGGACCCGGACCCAACCTGAAGCTATGAGTTTAAAGGTTCATGAGTGTAGAAGAGAAGGAACCATTTATGTGAAAGCTAAGTGGACCTTGAACGTGGATAAAGAGACAGTTGTAAGTATCGAACGGTAAGTGGGGAGAGAGGATAGTATATGATTGCAAATATAATTTGCTAGGATTGGTTGCTGCTACTCAGTTGACAGTTAATTGGTTTTGGAGAAGTATGTGATTCCGTGGGGCAACAACATCTATGGTTATTATGTCTCTAAATTGGTTTTTCACTTTCGATGTTGGCCCTTAATCCTTTTTGGCTATAGTGACAAGGTCAGTTTCTACACCCTCCATTCTTTTCTCTCTTCTGTTGGCAGCAAAGTTGTGGCTGGTATGAATTTAGTTTGAGTCAGCACAAGGTGGAATTAGTAGGCGTCCAAACTGACTAGGGTGATAGTGTATAGTTTCTTGGGGTTTTGAACTCATTTTTCAATATTCTTCAACTGTTTATTCAATTCAAAAGCAACAAAGTTACATGCTAAGTTACTCTCCTTATTGGATCTTTTAGTTGTGTATAATTCTTGGTTTCGTGATATGGTATTGGAGATATGAGCAGGTGAGGTTTGGAACGGACCAGAGCATTAGCAGCAGTTGGTTGTGAGATGGTATGTGTAAAATGGAATCATGGTAATTACTTGGCTCTGCTCATATAGGTAGGCTATATTTGAACCTCAAGGGAAGAATTCTCTTGCCACTTTTTAAGCTTTTTGTTTAGGTTTCCAACGTCTATGTGTGCCTGCTTTATGTCAACATAATCAAGCTTAATTGAAAGCAATACTTCCCACTTTGTACACTCAATTTTTCTGTGTTTCACGGCTTTCTTATCTAACTTTTTTGTTTCTAAATTGCCTCTATT